GAGGTGGGGACTCAAAATCTTATTATATTGATCATGTGTAAGTTTTTTATACAACCATGGCTCTTGATTATGTTGTATGGTGCGAGATGCCTAGTCCCACAACTTTTTATTGGCCTTGTATATCCTTCTCTAACTCCAAAAATGTAAATGTAACACCAAAAAAATAAGTCGTGATTTTGAAGCTAAGACCTTTCTCTACAAAGTTACGATTTCATTTTGTTGATATGTCACAGCATTGCAGAGTTAGAAGGGCTCAAAGTTGCACAAGTTTACTATGTTCATGAGGAAATGCCGCCGTGATCGTTACTAAATTTAGACTAGCCTGAGATAATCATTTCTAAATTTAGCAGTAACGAAAAGATGAATTATTCTTTTGAATAGTTGGATGCGAAACATCCTAGCATCCTTTTGCACAATGATGTAATTTTTCATAAAACAGACTATTTTGTGGCCAAATGGTGCATTGATCAAGTAGTCTAATAAATTACTACAAAAACATATAATAGACCAAAAAATTGCAATGGTTGAGCAAGTAGTGCCAAAATGGTATCTGTGATATGATTTATTAGATAGATAATTAGATAGTATAATATTAATATTAATATATAAATATTTAAATGGAAAATTTTTTTTTTAAAATTGTATCACCATTAAAGGTCACGTGACATAAAAATTTATTGCTTTTTTGAACATAACTTACAATTCTGATATTTGATGATTTTTCTCAAAATTGGCACGAGGCGCAGTAAGTTGCGGGACTAGGTGACTTGCACTATATTTTAATTTTTGATCCTATATTAAATGCAACTAAACTTGTTACAATATGGTATATCACAGTATTAAAATCACAATCTAAATAATACTTTCTGTTCATTGCCAAAAGCCATAAATAGAAGTCCTTCAGATAGAAGTTCCTCTTTATCTGATATGCCCTCTCTAACTGCTTCTGGAAGTAAGAATTACTTCCTCTATTTGTTTTATGATTACCAATATTTATTACTTTTTTGGATCATGCTAGTGAATATTTGATAGCAGATGCTACAAGGTTAATTTCTAATACATATTTCTCATGGTGTGACCCATATATTGCATAAACTACAACAACCCTTTTAAAAAATTTCCTTGGTTTAAGTTTCATAACTATTCTGAGTTAAAGTCTCAATGAACTTCACAATAACTTGATATGTTGATTTAACAAAGCTTGAGGTGTGTATTTCATAAAATTTCCTAATGAAAATATATTGCTATTGTTGATTAATATATTGATGTCGCTGTAAACTGATTCACATTCAGCATGTGCAATTTTTTTTACAGCTTCTATATGTTTTTGAAATGTGAATCCAATTGTTCAATGGGATATTTATTTTTGTTAAGTTCTTCATTATATAGATTCTGAATTTTGTCTATGTGATCATATGAATTACCTAATTGCCTTTTTAATTCTGATATCTCACATTTGGGGCATGAAAATTGGTATTACCAAGAATTCCAGGGATCAAAATTTAGTAATTAATATACAATTTGTTATCTTAAGTGATATATAGAACTATCCCTGCATAAAATTAGTTAATATGAAACTCATTTACTATGGAATCCAAGAATTATAATACTATCAGAAGTATTTTAAAAAAGGAACAAGGTGAAAAAATTGTTTCTTATATTTTCAAAATAAATGATACTCAACACTTGAAGCTTATCTAAGAAAAGAATAGATTACCTATGAAATTTACCAAGAAAGAAAAATCAAAAGAACTTTGCCACAAAATCATGAAGAATTTAGAAAGAAAAGGAAATTGGAAGAGAAATAATTCACTACCAAGATCCTAGGTGAGCATGTCTTTGTTATCTCTTTAAAGTTACATATTCAGTACCTATTCCATACTTCTTATTATATTAAAAAATGGAGAAATTTTCAGATTGTATATAATTCCATATTAGTATTTATTTTTATATAAAACATAGAGAAATTCTGTGCTTTATTTTTATAGGGCATAACGTCCACAGTGAGATGACAATTAGTTAGAGTAGGCTACATTTATCATTACATATTAATTGTTTGATTGATTCCCATTTATTTTAAATAATAAATAGAAAGTAAGTATTTTCATCATTACTATTATTAAAGCCAATATCATTGTTTTTGAAAACATATTAACTGCTGATTGATCTTTGTTTTATTTTAAATAATAAATAAGGCTGCATTTGCTCTTTAGCTCTTTGATAGCTTCATTTATTACTTTAATTTTTGGTTGTAATATTATAAATTGTACTCTTCTTTTTACTTATTTTATTATAATTTTTACATTGCATAAAGTTCTCATGCAAACAATAATGTATATTTTACAACATAGGAAGCAAAAATAAATAAATCAAATTCATACACAATAATGTTGAAAAAGCAAGTTTTATGTGTAATGTAATAGAGAATGAAAAGAAATAAAGTTATTTTTACTCAATTTAATATTTTTGCAGTGTTGAATGATGCACATTCATATCAATATAATGAATAGAAAAAAATTGATATAATAAATATTTTCTAGTTATTTATAAAAATTAGAATTATAGATATTTGATTTTTTTTCCTGTATATTAAAAAAAGATGGTGGTGGTGATTATTGATCCATTACTTGCTACTCTAGTTATCAATAATTTTTCTTTATTTGGAAATTTGTAAGACCTACATTTTACAATATTAATATTATTTTTAGTGATCCCTGAAATTTTTGGTAATACTAATACCAAATGTTCACTTTAATTTTGTTGCAGCATGCCCCATATATATAATAATAAATAAATTTTTGTGCAATGAAATTTTTTATAAATGAACAAAAGGCCAAGAAAAGAACCAAGCAATTCTATTAATCATGGCAGACAATTTACAGGTGTATGGAGGCAATTTATTCAAGGTCAAGAAAAAGGAAATGGTATATATGAAGGTGAGCATATAAGTTGTCATAAAAAATGGGCATTTGCAAAACCTGGAATCTTATGTTCTCATTTAGCAAATGAATGCAATGAATGTGGAGAAGATGTTAAATGAAATGTTTAACGAAAACAATATAGTAGAAGAATTAGATGTGGATTTTTTGATGAAGAGACTGGAGGTGATGATTATGATCCCATAAAAGTAGCTCATGAATTAATGGGTTTTGAAGATTATTACAATGTATGATAATATATATTTTTTATAATTTTTTAAATTTAAAAAGTTTATGATTAACATTTATGATTTCATTTGTGTAAACAGCAAAAAATTTTGAATTGATATTTTCAATTACATAACATATTTATTACAGAATTACAGAATTACAGATACGTTTACATATTACAGATTTTCTGACAACTGCATACTTGAAAAGTTGTCAAATTACAGAATGGCCAAACTATTTACAGACAGCATCATTAACCAAGATTATCACTTCATGAAGGTTCAAGAGTGGAATTTGGAAAAATGTTAAATTTAGAAATGAAATGTTTAATTTCTAAGTGGATTGATTCTAAATGGGATGATTGGAAAATTGTCCCATATAATGAAGATGATGTTCCTTACAGATTCAAATTAATTCTTTGTGGATCTTGTGATGGGTTTTCTAGGTCAGTTTTGGAGAAGAAATGTTATAATGTAGTACAAACTGTGGTTATTATGAAGATCAAAGAAACCGGTGAATTGATTGGTGGCTATAACCAGCTTGTTGGAATAAAAAAGAATATTCTCCAGATAAAAATTATTTTATGAAGAGGACCAAAGTATTATTTTTAAACTTGATGAAAATAAATTATCTAGGTCAATAATAAGTAGAAACATGGATCCTGAATGTGCAATACAACATAATAATGGAGATGTTTATTGTATTGAAGATAACATAAGCTTTTATGGAAATGTTATATGGTTGGCTCGGTCTAAAGACCTCCTAAATTTTGGGCAAATTTTAAAAGTATAGAAGTCATTTTCTGTCCTACCTTTTAAAAAAATAGCCTTATTAGTTGATAGAATATGTCTTTAGTTTTAATGTAATAGAGATATTCTCAAAAAAATCATTTGTTGTAAGTTCTATTCTTTTTTAAAACATGTACTTTACTATGCTCACAAGGAATTTGGCTGTACTAAATTTAGGAAAATTATTACTAAATTTAGACTAAATCTTGACTATCGTATCTAAATTTGGCAGTAAGAAAACCTAAAATCACGTGAAGTCCTATTTTTTGAAAAATTTTATTACATTTTTTGAACTTTTGAACAAATTATAAATTTGCTATTTTTTTGAAATTTGGCCGCATGGCGCAGCAATAGGAGGTCTTTAGACCGAGCCAACCATATATACAGTGCGGATCATCTATACTCAAAAGTTAAAATTTTTGAAATATTATGTGATCCACACATTGGATTTTAAAAAACCAACCACCATTCAATTCAGCTTTAAAAATGGAGTCTATTAATCTAAAAAAAAAATTTGTCTCAAATTTTCTTTTTCAAAGATTTTTTAAATTTGAAAGTTATGCTCAGAAGTGCAACAATAAATTTTGTGTTACAATATTTTGAATCTCTTGACCAAATTTGGTAATGATATTCTTTTAATGTAATATGTTCGCTAAACTTTTTGTTGTAAAGAACTTTTATTTATTAATAAAAAAAAGGAAATAAATAAGTCAAATAAATCAAATGTATGTAGTAAAAAATATTCTATGAAAAAAAGTTGTTACACGAAATTTACTTAGTCTCAATTTCTTAAGTGTATATATAACAAAATTCGGAATTTTCAAAATGTTAATATTAAGGCTCAGCCAATTTTCAGTTTAAGAAAAAACCAGCCGATAAATTTTGAAGCTTGAGTCATGAAAAATAAAACTTAACGGTTAATTTTTTAAAATGAGATATTTTTTTTTGTTTTAGTGTATATTTTGAAGTTGACCAATTGTTATTATAATGATTATAGATGATCTGCGCCGTATTACTATATATATCCAGGGTTATCACGTGACTACCATCTATTGGTGGTTTTTTATATTTTTATAAACCACCATCGGTCTCGACGTTTCTTATTATTCTTAATACATTCGGCCAAGTCATCTTCTTTATATTCAAATATTATTTCAACCTTGTCTATACCTTCATTGTCATTACTAGAATCTAATATAATTAATTAATAATTGAAATTGTAAGTAATAAATTAGTGATTGGCAACTTTCAATTAATTTAATTTTACCTTGTGAACTATTATAGCTAGTTCTAGCAATATTATTTCTCTGTTTATTTTGGGGGGATTTTTTTGTTTTATTATTAGCATTGCTTGTAGAAGGAATTATTGGTTCACTATTTATATCTGCCAACCATTCAAACATCATCATTTCTAAATTTTATGATTATTTATTAATTGTTAACTATTTATTATCTTTTATAACCATTTAATGCAATGATTACCTCGATCTTCTTCTTTAATATTAAACATTACTTCAGTCTCATCATTATCATCAACCTTTTTGAACTTTTTCATGCCTTTTCCTTTATCATTATTATCATTACTAGAATCTAATATTAATTAATTGATTAATTAATTAAGAATAATTGAAATTATAAGTAATGAATTAGTGATTGGTAAGTTTCAAATCAATAAGAATTTAATTTACCTTTTGAACTTTTGTAGCTAGATGTAGCAATCTTATTTTTGTGTTTTTCTAGG